TACTCTCCAGCCAGGTGAGCAGTTTGTAGATATAGCTGTCTGATTTGTACTACATTTAAGGTTGCATACATACAGTCATGGAAGACATTTAAAACACAAAGTCTGCTGTATTTTTATTGCTCAAACACAACATGCGCATTTTCTGAAGACACTCGGTTGCACATTACAGTTATAAATAAATCAATATTGTACAGCATTTTACCTTCCTTGTTTCTTATCTTTGCGTGAATCTACGTGCTTCGATTGTTTCTCATTTTGCTGTTGCATCTGAGTTTCCCCTGTTGCGAGATAATAAAACGTATTATATGACATCCTATTATTGTAAAATGGCTAGATATCAGTTCTCTAATCAAATTATGAATTAGTAATTGTAGAATGAGCAATAAACCTGAAGAAAACGATAGTGGTATTTTATCCATGTCTGCATGCGTCTAAAACACAGGTGTCAAACTCCAGTCCTGGAGGGCCGCTGCCCTGCAACTTTTAGATGTGCCTCTGCTGCACCACCTGAATAGGATAATTAGGTCATTAGCAGGCCTCTGCACAAGAAGGAGGTAATTAAGCCATTTCATTTCAGTGTTTTGTACCTGTGGCACATCTAGAAACTGCAGGATAGTTGCCCTTGAGGACTGGAGTTTGACACCCCTGGTCTAAAACTTAGAAGTAATTACATTTGTCTTTAATTTACACTATTCCAGTTATTTATAATTCTGTATGGTTGGATGGTAAAAAAAAAAAGGAGGTTGCATGTATATATAAAGTAACATGTCTGTTTTAAATAATTCCTTATGTGTAAGTAACTTCCACATTAGTAACTGTTATTTATCTACATTTATGTGCTATAAGCTATAACATCTGATTACTTTTCCCAGGGAGCAGAAGGAGAGCAACATGGCTGACATGATGGAGAACGATGAGGAGAACCATCAGAACAACAGGATCTCCTTCAGGAGGAAGCAGCTACCAGCAGATATGGCAGAGCTCCATGGAGAGTTGAGACAAAATAGAAGAAAAATGCTGTTGTCTCAGTGAACAAAGTCTTTTTTATATATACTCATTCCACACATTATTGTATATATTGTAGTTTGTATCAAGGTCCTAATACAATCCTCCCAAAATATGAGGAACTACAGAGTGAAAGTAACATTATATTATATAAATATTTCATTGACACTTAACATTATAGATTACCAATGAAGCCATCCGAAACTGAATACATTATTCAGCAAACCAAACATTTTGACATTATTATCAGGGTTTCTATTAACAAGAAACCTAAATGCAAATCATTTATGTTAATTTCTACTTTATACATCATTCTATCCACTCACTGTTTATCTGTCTTCCTGCAGAATCTTCAGTGCAAGAGAGTGAGAAAACATGTCCAAAACCTGTAACCTTAATTAGTGATAAGACTGAATTTAAAGTTTTAAGCCCCGATCAATTAGTGACCAAAATGTGAAAACATGGAGGTTTGATTAAAACTAGAACCAGTCAGATTGGAAGGAATTAAGCTTTATTTGTTCTCAGTATAACTTGAACATCAGATGAATCATATTTAAACGTATAGAGAAGTTAAAAACAACAAATTGTTAATGCACTTCAACTCTGTAAGATCAGCCACATTTTTTTATCAGAAATGTTTCATCAGCATATTGAGCTCATGTGATTCCTGCTCCAGAAAGGTGAACTCTGATGAGATCCTACAACCCAAAGGCTGCAGAAGAACCACGATGGTCTGCGGCGGCAGTTTACCAACAAGAAAACACATTGAAATATATTATGAATGTGCGGCGCCAACATGCAATTCTGACACTATTAAGTTGTTTCCAACACCCTGACTAACATTAGCTCATGTATATTCAGCAATGTATTACAAGTTTTATCGTAGTTTAATACAAAAATCATCGTTAGCTCACCTGCACCGTCAGAGCCACCTGCTTTCCTCCCACTGCAAAGTGGAGATCAGCTCCTCCTCGACACATCACAGCATTCCTCCCACCACACATTTTCTTGAAGTCTCAGAATAATCACAATCAGGCTATAAAAAAAAGTAGCTCTCCTCTCTCTTCTTCTTTTGTATCAGAAAAACAACTTGCGTTAGGAAGCACAGCACATGGCTTCTGGATGCAGGGCGCTATACTCCCCACGGCCATGAGGCGGCACCCTACTACAGAAAGCAGTAAGAGACGATAAAACCGAAAATTAAAATGAGGTCGATAGGTTTAATTTATCGTGCGATTAATTGATTTATCGTTTATCGCAACAGGCCTACATACTTCCATGACATGTCACCCAATGAGCATATTTGGGATGCTCTGGAACAGTGTATATGACAACGTGTTTCTGGTTCTAACAATATCGAGCACATGTAAGACAACCATTGAAGTGGAGTGGACCAACATTCCACAGGCCACAATTGACAATATTGTCAACTAACTGCATGCAAGAGGGATGTGTTGCAGTGCATCAGGCAAATGGTGGCCACACCATATACTGGCTGGTTTTCAGACTCCATCAATATAGTAAAACTGCATATATTAGAGTAGCTTTTTATTGTAGCCAGAGTGAGACACATCTGTGAAATAATGATGCTGTTTAATCAGCATGGTGATTTGCCACACCTGTGACGTGGATAGATTATCTTGGCGAGGGACAAGTGTCCACAAACCCAGATTTAGACAGATTTGTGAAAAACAAGTAAAGTAGTAAGGTAGGTAGGTAGAATAGTTGGTTACTTAGGGCGCAACCTATTTGTACCAAAAATATGGCAAACCTGTTAATTAAAAGCAACATGTACAGAAAAAAAATACCTGAATATATGCGCAGAATATTATATGCAGAACTAAGTGTGCAATGAAACATAGAAAAAAAATGGTAAAACAAAGCAGACACCCAACCAAAACATTATGTTAAGCAAGGTGAATTCCACATGTCTGCCTGTAGCATTCAATCTGCCCAAACTCCTTATTCAAGACCTGGCTGTGCCCACTTGTACTATTTTATTCATTAAAACAAAATCCAAGCAAATCTCTAGTCTGTTGTGATGGACTCTCACCTGAACCTTCAGAGCCACATTAAGACAGTCACAAAG